ATAATATAGAACCGAAATCTGGTCAGCACTATCTTCACAAATAGTCCTCATTTTGAAGACTGTAAAAATGGGAGGACCTAGTCCATATACAATCCTAAACCTAGTCCATATATAATCCAGAAAAATATTCCTGGTGATACTAAAAGATGCTGAGAGCCAAAGAACAAAATTGTTGTTCCTACCTCATCCATTTCCCAGTGAAAGTCATCTCTCAGAGTACCAAAGGCTGTTTCAGTCCTATAATAATCAGCTTTGTAGCCTACTGAATCTAACTAAATTATATCAAGAAATGCCTTCTACTGAAAGATTGTTAGATATTCTAGCAACTTGCCTCCAAATGGCAATTTCAAAGTTACCTAAAACCACAGCATCTCAACATTTTCTTCAACCTAGGTCTCACGCACTTCCCCCCCTCACAAAAAAACACCTTAGGAGCTTCATCATCTTTCCAGAAGTACAGATAGTCCTCCAATTATAACCATTTGTTTAGTGGCTGATTGAAGTTGCAAACGGCATTGAAAAAAATGACTTACAACCTATCTTCTACAACCATTACAGTATCCCCATGGTCATGTGATTAAAATTTGGAACCTCGGCAACTGCCATGTATGACGGTTGCAATGTCCCAGAGTCATGTGATCGCCTTCCCAGCCAGCTTCTAGCAAAGTCAATGAGGGAAGCCAGATTCACTTAATGACCGTGTGATTCTCTTAACAGTGGAAATGTGTTCATAAAATCGGGCAGGACTCGTTTAACCTCCTTGCTTAACAACAGAAATTCTGGCCCCAATTATGGCTGAAAGTCAGGGGTGGGTTCTGGACGGCTTTACTGCCAGTTCGCTCGTGTCTGCACTTCACGAGCATGCACAGTTCAATTAAAATTGTTCTGTGCATGCGCAGAACTCAAAAACAAGATGGCAATGGCGGCGACCGGGGAGCCAATTTGGGGGCGTGGCAGGCCTAGATCGCTGCTGGTTCTAGCGACCCAGGCCGCCATACCACTACTGGTTCAGCTGAATCAGGCCAAACCGGCAGGAACCCACCTCTGCTATATCAGATAAATTAAAAATTATCTGTATTTATCATTATGTCCCTCCCACTGCTGAGATATTTTCCATTTTAAAAGAATTTGTATGCATTTATTTCTCAAGCGCACTTTGATCCCTAAGGTCTTCTACTATAAATATTTAGTCTTGTTGAAATTGTGATTGGTATAAAAGCAAGGGAAAATACAGTATAGAGTAAAATACTTTATTATATGAGGAGTAGATATGAGTTATATTTTATATATCCAGATGAAGATGTGTATACCGTGTTTCCCCGAAATTACAACATGTCCTGATAATAAGGCCATGCCATATTTTTCCTGTGGGCAAAAATATACGCTCTCCCCCAATAATAAGCTGCCTGGACAACCCCCCCCTCCAGTCAGGCAGAACGCCACTCACCAACCTAGCGATATCCCGAAGGCGCAAAGCCGCAGGAGCCAGGGGGAGGGGGGACAAAGGCTCTTACATTGCTTGACGCCTTTGAAATACCACTAAGTTGGTGGGTGCAGTCGGGCTGCCGCCGCAGCCTGGCCCAGCCCTGCAGGGAGAGCTGGGCATAGTGAGGCTGGGAGGCACGTGAGCTGGAGACAGAACAAGTGCTTGCATAAGCTCCCTTTCTAGCCGGGCAGAGCACCACGCGGCTTAGCACCTTTGGGATATTACTGGGTTGGTGAATGGCGCTCTGCCCGGCTAGAAAGGGGGGTTGCCAAGTGGTTGCTCATGAGCGTCATCACCTCATGGTGGTTTTGTTGTGCTGCTGCGACAGCGCAACACAGCCATTTGCCCCTGAGGCTGTGCCCAGCTCTTTGGGTGCCCGCTCACAAACAAACAAACCTCAAACCAATAAGCCCCACCCCGATAATAAGGCCCAAGCAACATTTTTTGGGGGGGTCAAAAGAAAATAAGACTGTCTTATTTTAGGGGAAACACAGTATTAAGGAATGTAGACATTCACATTTTTGTGAAACATTTTGGCAATGTAATTCATAGTTCAGATGAATAGTCATAGCTATTCTGTAGCTATCTATCCATCTTTGCCAAATTAACAAAATATAGAAAGCAAATTTTCTGAAATACGAACTTTCTTCTGGAAAAGGAGCAAATGAAGATTTACAGACAGGTGGATTTTAGGCAAGATCTGCTAAAAATTACATACCATAGATACCTTCAACGGAACCAAATCAATTTCAGCTTGCATTCAAATCTCATTGTGAAATATAAACAGACATCATCATAGTATGATGGAGTGGGAATATAGTCCCTGTCAAAGACAGGGAAGGAACAAGCTCTCTATCACAAGAAGACATTAGCAAGAAAGGAGATATGCTGTACACACATTTACAAAAGAAAAATGAAAACACAGAAAAATCATAATTTCAACATTTTATACTAGTATAGAAAAGATAATCATAGTCATTCTTCTCCAAGATATAATTGTTTAATAACCTAGAGAAGCAAGTTGAATAAAACCCTACATTTTAAATTATTTCATGAAGTAGAATTTTAAAAATGAAACATTGGAGTAGCTCAGCAGAAAAAGAGGCTGCCCATAATAATCTTTCTGCTTCATGGCCAGTTTAAATAATAAATTAGGCAATGACCCCAATCTCATAATTTTATCCTACTTTAAGGCGTTCATCATTTTCTCCTGGATTAGAAATTGGTCTTCCAGCACTTTGAAGGTTTAGGAAAATCACATCAGATCCAAGATTACTTATCCCAAGGGCTATTTTATATACGTTAGGACTGTGATGGCGAACCTGTGGCTTGTGTGCCACAGGTGGCACGCAGACCCCTCTCTGCAAGAATGCCAGCCATCGCCCAATGCCAGCTCCACTGCGCATGTGCACGCGCCTCCTGCTGGGCAGCTGGCCTTCGGGTCACTGCCGCGCATGCACAGGGCCTTCCCTGATTTCCACAGTTCCCTCCCCCTGTGCCCTAGCTTTCTCTCCCCCCCACCAGCGCGACCTAGTTTTCTCCTGCATTACTGCAGCCCATGCCTTCCCCGATCTCCGCTGGTTCCACCCTACACAGGTGCCTCTCTGTGCAGTAATGGAGGAGAAAGCTAGGGTGTGTTGGGGGGAGAAACTGCAAAGATCTGGGAGGGTATGGGAAGCAGGAATGCAGGAGGAAGCTAGGGCATGCCAGGGGGGGGGGAGAGAAACTGTGGAGACTGTGAGGCCCTCCTGCACCCCGTTTTGGGCCTGAAAAGCCTGAACCAACCTGGAAGCCAAAATGGGGGCCGGGAAGGCAGGACGCATGCTCAGGATGGGGGGAATGCGCAGGGAACGTGCAAAAATGCACGGGGCACATGCACACGGGCAATCCTATTGCATTTGGGGGATTGTGGCACACGTGTGTGCATTTGCGCACATGCGCTTTGGCCACTCGGCATCAAACAGGTTAAGCATCACTAAGTTAGGATCAACTCTCATATTCAAAACCTTTTACTCCTCTCATCTCAATCTTTCATCACACTTAAATTTTACTCCACTAGTTGTTGCCAACTATAGGAGGCAGTGCTCATCTCCATTTCAAGGCCATTAAGCTAGTGCTGTCCAAAGCCATTTCCATGGTCATGTGGCCAGCATGATGTCAAGGAGCACTGTTATCTTTCCAATGAAGTGGCAGCTATTTATTTACTCACATTTGTATGCTTTTGAATTGCTAGGTTAGCAGGAACTGTGCGAGGACAGGAGCTTAGCTTAGCCTGTAGCCCTTTACCCATCTCACCAGAGGGCACCTGGGATGAAGCAATGCTCAACCAAACTTGGACTCAAAACACAGCCTACAGAGTTGCCTCTGCATGGCTCCATGGAGTCTAACAACCAATCAGAATCCAAGCTCAAGTTCAAAGCTCAGAGAGAGCATAAAACCAGGGACTTTCAGTATCTCTGCCTCTTTTTTTCTTCTTCACCCAACATCTTGAAGCATGTGATCCAGTGGTGGGTTACCGGTGCCTGCTGGGAGCACCAGGTACCATTCGGGTACGGTGCTCTGGAGGGCCCACCCGTGCTCCTTACTTTATTTGAAGTTTCCGGGGCTTGCGTGCACGGAGCGCATGGCGCCTGCGCAACACTCCGCCAAGCAGCTGCAGCATCACGGGCGTTAAGTACGCATGTGTGCACTGTGCATGTTCACATGGTGGACACCATATCGGTTGCAACAGGATCCGGAACCCACTGCTGATGTGATCCCCCTTTTCTGTTCAGGAGTTCAAGCCATGTGACCCTGTCCTCCATTAAACCATCTTTCCAAGCAGCCTCCATGTTTCCAGTCTTTTCCCCCCACTTGGAACTGAATCCAGAAGGACATTTCTTCCAACAGTATAAACCAGATATTTAGGCCTCAATCACACTTTCAGCATTCCAACCTATTGGTAAAGATCTCTAATGCTGTAGACATGTACTGTATTTACAGGACCTTTTCAAACATGAATGTGGCCAGTGTTAACTTCTAGAACTGCAATATTAGGTGGGCTTGCAACAACATGAGAATACCCCTCCTAAAGTGAAATGAAAAACAACATGCCCTATGCAACCGCCTGAGATCTTTCCTAGAACTGCCGAGCTCTGTGATAATGACGAACAGGATGGCTGCAGGGCTCTAGACTAAAAGGCCCCATCTCTTTCGGCTCCTGCGCTCTACCGCCTCGATCCTGAAAACTAAGAGGGATCCATGATCCCCAAGAGGGGTCTTTTTTTTTTTGTTTCTCCTCCGAAGTTTGTTCAGAGTTAACCTAGCTAGATTGGAGCGTCCGTGGGAAGCCTACTTGTAAGCTTGGCTACACAAGCTCGACTGCCCTCTTCCTCCCCCTTAGGAGAGCGAAGATGTCCTGCGTTTTCTCCCCAACCCTTCACCGGGACGGGGGAGGGGATTGGGAAACGCCTCTCTCCTTCCTCGGGCAGCGATGGGGGAAGGTCTGTCTCCTTCCCAGCTCGGCCCCAGAGCAAAGAGGAACTTTCCCTCCGCCGCCCCCTTTGTTTTTCTCTCTCTCTGGGTCTCTCCTCCTCGCCCCAAGGTTGCCGCTGTTAATTCCCTCGCCGCGAAGGCTGGCTGGCCGAGAGCCTTTTAAGTCCCGGTGGAAAATGCTCGGGGTGATGTTCCTCCTCGCTTGCTCCTGCTTGGCCGAAAGGGAACTTGCAGCATTGACGCAGGAGCAACTGCCCTACTTCTTGAGTAAGTTGGACGGGCGGCTGAGCCATTGGTCGGACGGCCGCCTTAAGGGAGATTTCGCTGCTGGCTCTCTCACTCTCTTTCTCTCACTCTCTTTCTTTATTTCTTTCTCTCTCTCACTCACTCTCTTTCACTCACTCTCACTCTCTTTATTTCTCTCTCTCTCACTCATTCTCTCATTCATTCCCTTCCTGCTATTAACTTATTATGTGCAGCGCATTAGAATTTCCCTATGGGGAGTAATGCTTTATCTTGAGTCTTACTCCAGGGAAGGGGGGAAAAAGTTGGAGCCAAATCCTAAAGGTCATTTGTTAGGGCATAAAACCCATTTAAGTCCAGAGGAATTTATTTCCTACTGCTGCCAGTTGAAACGTAGGTCAGAGACCTTATCAGTCAGTTCTAGCTCTATGCTAGACTCCACCACCTAAAATCCATTTAACCATCAGAGTGCATGACCGAAGGGCTAAATTTGGCTAATTTGGCTTTAGTTTACAGGACAGTTAGTCCTTGACTTACAACAGTTTGCTTAGTGAGCATTCAAAATTACAAGGGCACTGAAAAAAGTGACTTATGGCCATTTTTCACACTTGTGACCATTGCAGCATTCCCCATGGTCATGTGATTTGTATTTGGATGCTTGACAACTGATTCACATTTATGAGGGTTGCAGTGTCCTGGGGTCATGTGATTCCCCTTTTGCGACTTTCTGACAAGCCAAGTCAGTGGGGAAACCAGAGTCACATAACAACCTCACTAATTTAACAACTGCAGAGATTCACTAAAGAAATGCCGCAAGAAAATTCATCAAATGGGGAAAACTCATTTAACAAATTTCTCACTTAGCAACATAGATTTTGGGCTCAATTGGGGTTGTAACTTGAGGATTACCTGTACTTTTTTCAGCCCTTGATGTGTTGCACAGGAGCAGCTCTTCAAGTTTGTGCTTCAGTCCCACAAAGTGAGTTTCCAATTCCCAATGTTAGCTCTGCTTTATGCATGCAGCCAGCATGTGCAGTTATCTGCTTATATGTGGCTGTGCATCCTAACATTTCCCAGGCAAATTCTCATGTGAGGGAATATTATTTTGTTTGCTTTAAGCTACAGTGTGTCTCAAACTCTCTTTTGTGTTTACTGTGCACTTAACTGTATTACTACTGATAACGTATCATTGTTCCAGAACACATCACTCAGAACACATCACTTGTATAAACATTTTAAAAATCTTTTGCAGCTGTCTCTGGATCTGTTCTAAGCATGAGACATGCTACTTCCAGTGTTGAGGTAGAAAGCCCCAAATGCCGTAACTTCTGAATTTCTGACTGCCTGCATGAGATTTGTTTCCCTCCTCCAGGGAATGACCCTTGCACCCGTTCATTTATGTCTGCTAAAATAGAAAAAGCAAACCATGTAATGCTGCAGGCATGTATGGAATTGTTCAATTTCTATAGTATCAAAAGATGAAGTTGGGGAGTTTTTTCCTCCGAGAAAGTGTTTTTCTTTTTAGGTGAAACAATATCTGGGGATTATTAAACTAGATGAAGTCCAGCCATCTGATTCCCAATTCTTTTCTAGGTAATACAAAATTCCAATATGGAGGGGAGGCAGGCATACTTTTTCTCCTTCTAGAGAAGGGAAGCTGCAGGCTGCCAATCTTCAGACAGGGAGAGTTGATTACCCTATGTTGGGTTTCTGATTAGGTGTAATTTACACATTTTGTTGAAATGATTTTGAGATTATTTTCAGTACTTCCCTGACAATGTGAGTGCTTTGGAAATAGAGGGGGGAAGGTGTGCAGCAGCTGCCAAAAAGCCAATATAGTTCTAGGCTGCATAAATAGAAGGATAGAATCAAGATCATGTGAAGTGTTAATACCACTTTATAAGGCCACACTTGGAATACTGCATCCAATTTTGGTTGCCACAATGTATAAAAGATGTGGAGACTCTAGAAAGAGTGCAGAGAGGAGCAACAATGATTAGGGGACTGGAGGCTAAAACATAATGAAGAACGGGTGCAGGAACTGGGTATGTCTAGTTTAATGAAAAGGACTAGGGGAGACATGATAGCACTGTTCCAATATCTCAGGGGTTGTCACAAAGAAGAGGGGGTCAAACTATTCTCCAAAG